AGCTGGTTCTTGAAGTAGAAGTCGAGAGCGTCCTGCAAGTTGGCGACGACACACTCTTGAATGATGGGAATAGCACCTCGGATGGCAGGGAGCATGTGCTCCTCAGTCTTGGCCGCAAGAGTGGTGCCGATGGCTCGCTGGGCGTCGTGCACAATCTTAGAGACATCGTTCTTGATCTCTCCCTTCATGGTGTCTTTGAGCTGGTCCAGGGCATCTTGCGTGAGAGCGACCTTGATTCTGTTGAAGACCTCTTCTTTGATCTCATTCTTCAGCTCATTGTTGACTTCGTTCTGGATCTCCTTAAGCTCGGCAATGGCACTGCCCTTCACGTCCTCCATGATGTCGTACTTTAGCTGGCTAACCATCTCAAGTCTCATCTCGCGCTTGACGTCCTGCTTGACCTTGAACGTGATGTCGCGCTTGAGGATACGCTTCAGCTCCTCTCTGAGCTCATAGTAGAGGCGGCCCTTGATGTCGCCGGTGAGCTCCTGAGCGAGCTCTTGGATGAGACGCTCTTCGATTGAGCGCTTGAATTCTCCGTCGACTCTTGCCTGAAGCTCCTTCTTGAGCTCGGTCTTGAGTTCATGCATGATGTGAGCCATGAAAGCAGCGGTGTTGTCGCTGGGGAGCACCTGATCAAAGACAGGCGTCTCCTTTGACGGGCTGACGGAACGGTGGAACAAGGGAGAGTTGCGATTGACAGAGGTGTCCTCAAGGGAAGAGATGTCAGACAGAGTTGGACGCCCAGACTTGATACCCTTGGAGCCAGACAAGGCGTCCTTGGATGCTCTAGAGATATGTCCCCAGCAGCAATCGTCGACGGTGTCCTTAATAGGGCTGACGTTGTTAATGCCCTCAATGTTGTTAGTATATTCAGTCGTCGTAGCGCTGCCAGTGCGGCCAGAAGCGGCAGGGCGGTGAACGTGGTGCTCGTTTGCCATAAGCTCAATCGGCTCACGATTCAAGGCTTGGATGATGCGCTTCTTGTTGTCGGCCTCCATCTTGATGTGCTGCTGCTTCTCATTCTCAAAGGCTTCCTGAGCCGCAGCAATCTTTTTGTTGGTCTCGTCGAGACTGGCATTCAAGGCGGCTCTCTCCATCATGAGCTCCTACAGATCCATGGTCAGTATTGTAATCATCGGCGCTCATCAATCACATCGTAGATTCATCACTGTCAAAAAAAACCACCGTGAGCACTCACCTCGATGAGGTCGATAGATTTGACAGTCTCAGGAACGAGATGCATCTTGGCGAACTGGTACACCTGCAATGATCAGCAAAATGAATCAAAATTGGTGTGCAAAGAAATTCTTGCTTTTGGTACGCGTTGTCTTGTGATACTTGTTGAACTTTTATTTTGGGGGATGCTTGAACGTGAAGATCGTAAGGTGAAATGAGTTCTTGGGCGAAGTGCGAGCGGAAGCGTGTGTATGAGAGGGGAAGAGTGAGGCAATGTGCGGGTGAGAGAAAATAGAGGATGCGGCTGGTAGAACGCGAGATTGTTTTGATAGCGTGTTGGGAGGCCGTCTCATAGATTCCTGAGTGGGAAGGCGCGATTGAGGGAGGAGCTAGGCTTGGAGGTTGAGGCAGGTGCCAGCCATCAAACCCAGACTCACCTCACCTTCACCGTTATCCTCACCTTGGCCTTAGGTGAGAAGCATTCTAGGCACTCCGGCTTATAGACAAGATGCCTGAGGAATTTCTCTCCGTCTAGCTACCGGACGAAGAAAAGAAATTGTCAACTGCCATATAATGGAAGACGGAATGGGGCGGCTTCTTATCGAGCTCTCAACAGCATTAATCCGGGTTGTAGCAAAGTCTCTTTACGCCGTGTTGCCTGTATGAACCACCCACTTGATGCAAAAAATTCATTGAACTCAAGTTTGGCCGGATATAAATACAAATGATGAATGGCGTGTCATCCTAATGGTCCCATAGACCCCTTCCTCGTCCGGGAAGCCATGAAACTTTTGCTGTTCCTCATCGCTTTGAGCCCTCAACCAACATCTTATATCTTCAAGCATGCTGCTTACTGTTGTATCTCTCATTAAGATCGGGTATGAAGACCTTTCCGCCCCCCCCCCCCCCGCACCACCCCCCCCTCCGCCCGCGCACGTGGAAACTTTTTTTTCTTCGTCGCCGCTGTTCCCCCCAACCACAATCTTTCATTGCTAGCGCGCCCTTTTCTCTCGTCTTTCCCCTTTGTAGGTGGGGTTGAAAGCCTTTCCCCCCCCCCCCCCCCCCCCCTATTGTCGAGTCTTATTTCGTCTTGGGTCATCTTTGTTACGTTCCAAAGTTTCCTTCATCCAGCTTCTGGCCTTACATCTGAATTTGTTCGAACAACTACCTCTGTCTGTCTCGGAGAGACGATTCCCCGGTCCCGTTGTTGAGCATTGGTAGTTTGCGGGTGTCGGAGTGATTTGCAATCGGTACATGGAAGTGAGATCTCGCTTCCCAAGTTGGGCTCATTCATAGAACCACCCGTATAATCTGCCTTTAAGCCGCTTCTGATGTGTTGTTTTTATTCGGCTGAATTTTGTTTCCCTTTCTTGGCATACAATTTCCGCAGTAATCCATCTTCGGGGTCCTCGGGATCCTCGGGGTCTTCATACTTGCGCTGTCGCTTGAGTCCCGTTGCGACTTATATTTGCTATTGAAAGCAGAGATAGTGTCTGCAGTGAAGGCAATATTCTCTTGCGCCTTCTTTGTTCACAATCACCCTCATGAATCTCACGTATCATTTGTCGCCCACGGTCAGTATTGGAGATCTCAGCTTGCACCCGGCGGTGGTCGCCATTTTGAGCACGATTCCTGCCGTCGATGAGCTCCCCCAAGTTAGAATTGTTTGACATCTATCTTGCAAGCTCCGTTGTATTCAAGCAAGCTTTTTTTAGAGTGCCTATAAGACCAGAACCACAGCCATAATGCGAAAGGATTTCTGCAACGGTCCTCCTCATAACAGCGAGAAATTTGACGGACAGGGGTGGTTTGTAGGGGGCCACCTGCACATTGAACGTCACATCGACAGTGGTTTGAGCCCTTATTTACATCCCGTGAGTCCCGTCCTTGCTTCACAATTGACAATCCCGATTATTAGGAGCCTGGACCGTTTTGGCCGCCGAGAATAACTCCAGCGCTTCGAGTCAATGAGTTTTGGAGTCTCCCGCGCGCGCAGTTTTGCTGACGTGAACTTAAAGTTTAGGGCTTTATTCATGCTCGTATTGAAAGCGCTCTTTTGACGTCTCATAATTAGCGAGAACGAGGACGCAACCAAAGGAGAGACTTGGCCTGAGTAGTCATCCTGGCAGATTGCCCCCTATAGAAAACAGAGTGCCCTAACCGGGCCCACCAACTTACTTGCTGGTCCGGGTACTTGAACCATTTGAATTGAAGGACCTGACTCAGCGGGAAGGAGAAGCTTAAGAGCGCGGTCAGGGCGTCTCTGACTTAGGTTGCTGCCAAGAACATGGGGGCTGAACTTATGTAGGGGGGGGAGGTCCAACCGTCCAAAGAGCCTGGACCTGATTAGCATCGGAAAGGGACGAAACACTTAATCAAAAACCAACAGTGAGGGCCAACTTTTACTCCTGAATTACACTCATTCTGACGGAAACAGCTCGGTGGCCTTCCCATGTGCTCACCCTGTCGCCATGTTTTCCCATCCTCGACGCTAATATGAACATAGCCGCAGAGTTTTGCGTCGCCCGAGCCCGACATTGCACGTATCGGAGTGCTCTCGATAGGCGCAGAGGATTCTAATCAGGGCGTACGCGCAGATGAACTCCCCGAAACACCAGTGTTGATCCCGTTGTCGTGTTCGTACTCTTCAATCCACACAATGACTCGTGCGAGAACAGACTCAACGCCCCTGAGCAATGTTGAATAACCCGTCTCAAGCTCATCAACCGCTTCGATTGTTGGAACTTGAGATTCCCCTTCGCGCCGTAGTCGAGTGAAGTTAAGCACCTGCAAGACCCGGTTGTACAAGGTCATGAGTTCTTCCTTCTTCTTCAGGAGCAACTGGTAGTCTTCCGCAGTCTTGGGTTGTTCCTCAACTTCGCGAGTGTCCAGATGTTCAAGTGCGACTGACACAATTTTTGTCACGGCCGCGATGTCTTGTGCGTTTATGCCCTCAGATGTGGGGGTGCTCGTTGGCGGGTTATCGTTGCCCTGATGGTACGTCAACGGTTTTGCTGGCCTTTTTGGCAACTAACTTGCCCTGGGCCGATTGGAAGGAGACATACATCGACTGAGCCGGCCATCATCAAATGTTTGGTGTTCGACTATTTGTACGACATGAGTGCATGAGCTTGCTTGGTTCGCGAAGCGCGAAGCGGGAAGCCGAGGATTCAATGTGTCTGGTCGGTTGCAGTCGGATTATTGTGAGATTAAGGCAGCGTTAGAGATGTTGGAGGTAGGAAGATAGGGACCTGTGGGAAGATAAGGTAAGCGACTTTGACAACAGATAGGGAGAGTGAGGTCAACGACCAGGTAGGTAACAACCGTGGGAAATCCGAAGCGCTCAGCAAGGAAAGTGCTCTTTGACGCCCTTTTCTTATGTTGGAACCATGTTACTGACCCATGCTCTTTCCGCTGGGCAGATTCTATCAACTCCAAGACATGTCAAATCTGCAAAGGGCAGAGTCTTTCATTCAAAGTACAACGGCGGTAAGGCTGAAGTACTCCTCAGGCCTGAGCATGAATGAAGGAAGGCAATTCTGTCAGGGATCTGACTCAGCTGTCACCAGGTTGACCCAGGTTGCCTCCCGCCAGACCAACTGCTTAATTACAAGCCATGTCCCATACTAGTGTCACATATAGCATCGTCCTGTGGTTCTGTTGGTATTTTATCGCATTTATCCTCGCGGGTTCATCTCGAGCCACGCGTGCTAAAACTCAGTCACCTCCTATCGTCGATTCGTTGCTGGGCTCTTCCGGCCAAGTGTCCCATCCAGAACTCCGGTCCGCCACAGCCAGAACGCGAGGCCAAAGAGATTCACTCAGAGCATGCTCAACAACAAATTGACGCGCGTCATATTCTCGATGAGGGCAATTTGAACACGGTCGAAAGCGGCCTGGAGTGTCTCTCCCATATTACCGCCCCGGATGACTTCCATCTCAATCTTGAGTACTGCCTTTCGCTGGGCCTTGTAAACCGCTAGTCCTCTCGTGTACTTGACGCGCTTGCGGCGACGCCATCTCTTAGTAAGGTAGGCATCAATGTTCAGGTCGATCATACAGTCTCCGACCTCGTCATGAGCTGCGACGAGAGCCTGAAAGCACGAGACGATTAGCATGGCAGTCATGATCGATTGGGGTCCTTCAAGAGCGAACGTTGCTTACGTTGAGGAAGAGCTGCAATTGCCAGAGGACTACGGGGCTCTGGTTCTTCCACAACAACATCTCCACTTCTGGCTTGTACGCGAGAAGAGGCTTCTCGGTCTCTTCGGAGGTGCCGCCTCTCTCGGATCCGTCTTCGACAGTTGCCTAGCGAGTAAATAACCGATTAGCAAAATTTCCGAGGCATCTGGTGAGACCTGAGCTTACGCTGTGGGACGTCGCCATGGTTGTGGTTTGGTAAGTAGCCGTCAATGTTGTTTTGATTGGAAACTTCTCGAGGGTGAAGGGATGCTTCTCGGCCGAAGAAGAATTAGGCAGAGAAAGGGTTTCTCTACCTTGTCGATTAAGAAGATTATCCTACAGGCACCGTGGGCTCTAATGATGCCTCTGCCTCCCGCCGATGGAGCAAGGGGAGGCACGCCATCCAGGAGCCTCAGGTGACGAGCGCACCCGGAGGTTCCATGTGTCCCATTCAGGCTATTTGTTGAGAGTTTGTAAGTCTCATAATTCACAAACCATCTGGTGTGCGGGGGCCGTAGGCCACTTGTTTGAAGTGGGTGACGAGGCTCGAAATGATCGGTCGACTTCTTTGCCCTTTCTGGTGGAAGATTCGCTGTCGTTGCGTCCAAGCTAGGAGGTGTCGACGGGAAGAAAAGAGTCAGAGAGATCGAAAGTCCCGGTCTAGAGAGCCTGCCTCCAGCCGGCATCAACAGGGTGAAAAATCCCGTGAACTCGAAAACTAGATGGTTCGCACGTTTGTTCTGATAAGAAGAACTGACGATTTCTTCGAGCATATTTTTATGTACCACTGAACTGCTTAGAGCATTCTTCTTTATAGCACTTAATTGCTCCGATCAAATTCCTTTGTAGCACTTCATCGCTTTATTGGGATTGTGCCGTCCGAGGTAGATCGTCTGGCGTATGAGACGAGGAAGTCAAAGTTGCGGCGATTGCTCACCAGTTTGAGACTGTGATGGAGAAGGAAGGTAGCTAGGACAATGTGACGGATCAACTTCCGTCCCATTTGAGCTGCCTTACAGACAGGGAAGGAAGCTTCCTTTGTTGAGTGCCTCAGGCGGTGAGCCAGTGAGTATTTACCTTGACACTTGTCTGTCACAACATAAAGGCAATAATCATATTGTAGGACAAAGGAGCTCATGGGGCCGTTATTTGACTCGTTTCTTTGACTGTAATCACGCGCCAGCAGACTTGATTTGTCTAGACTTACTTACAGCACACACTTCCAAGTATCAGGATCTTTGTAGTCGCCAACGCCTTGGTACACGTTGTGGTATGGCCACCTGCAATGTCTATGTTTGGAATCAACACCACTGTCACTGGTGCCATTCTTGTACCGGGTCCCCATGATGGTGTCTGGAGCCACTTCGCTCTCAACCCATCGAACCATCGCCATCAGCACGTTTTCCTCCAGTGCCAGACTGGCAGTGCTTGCTGACTGGTGGCTGATAAAGGTCGCCCCATTACCGCTGCCGCAATGGGACATGCCAGAGATACGGAAAACTCGGTAGAATTCGTCAAGAGCCTCTGAGTTCATGCCCATAATTTGCGAGACATATTCGTGATATCGATGGGAATTCTCACTCGACAGAACGCCATGGGCTAAACCGTCGAGTGGAGAAGCTTGCCACCGCGGTTCTGGAAAGCCGATAAATCACCATCCTAGGTATCGATATTGAAGTGGCTGAGACCAGAAGCAATGGTGTAGTTCTCCGGACGGAGGGTCATAGCATCCCAGTTGGAGTCGTTTGAAATGGCATAACGATACCAATAGATGCATGCCAAGCCTCTGCTCAATTTCAGAATGAGTGGAGGCAATCAAGAAAGTGAGGAACCACAACGTGAGCAAGTTCCCATCGTTATATCCGCTGAGGCAACATGTACTACTGCCAGCTACCGGGGTTACCGAACCTGCCCATCATAGCTGATTGAAGCCTCGAATAGGTTTGAGGCCCTGTCGTTGGCAATGATAGTGGCTGCACTCGGCCGAAACGGGTATGACATCAGCCCCTCCGGGCCATTGAACTTGTAGCAAGAAGAGAGGGAACTCAGTCAATGCTACTACGCTTCTTTTTATTCCAGAACGAGTTTGAGGCACAAGGACAAGAGAACACATATTCTCGCAGTCTAGAACCCTTACATAAAAATCGGCAAGACATTGCAATAACTCAGCGAGGTCATGCGATGGTTCTGTTTGGTTTCAAAGGTGCTCCAAACCAGCATCCGTTTCGTTATGGGCTGTATTCACTGTTGGTGTATACCAGGTCAACTGGCCATGAATTGGATTTCGGCAGATTTTAGGCGGCCTTGCGGGGAGCTAGTCTTCTCAAGCCTTGTGTCCAGAATCAACGCTAGACTCCCTGTATATGAAGTGCTAGAAGATTACTAGACCCTGACCAAGAAGTCGAAATGATGTTACTCGCTGGTGACTAAGTACCTCCGAGGGAATAATTGCCTCTTTAGGTAGTTACCAATGGTTATCGTTGCAGATTGTCACTTTACGGAGTGCTCAGGAACTTCGAGTGTGAGGACTCACCCCTGTCCCGCTCACTGCGGTGCGTCTGGTGGGTCATTTAGCAAGTAAGGTTAATTTGTGTCTGGGTCATCAAGTCCGGGCTTATGTCCATTATGTAAACCTCAAGTGTGCTGACATACTACTTAGCAGGACTATCTTACTAGGAAACCTTCTCTTTACAAAGGATAGCGACCAACATCGAACCCACACTTTTTGGCAAGTGTACACATGCTTTCCATGTTACTTTAAAACGGTTTGATCATGCAAGCAGTAAGCCATTTCCCATAAAGCTCAGCGACTATTCACAGAAGCGATAGAAACCCTTGTCGATCTTTACTGTTTGATACTTGACTTAGTACTCAACTCGTTTGAGCCCAGATTTGCCTCCTACAAACCCAGAGTAGCTTCAGAAAGAGCCAGAGAGAGGTAGACATCGACCGGGTCAGGATAGTGAGAGGATCTCTCAATCTCATGGACTCATGGCTCTGGGAGTTCAGGTGTGATCTACTTAGTGAATGGTACCTCGGGTTCTCCAAGTCGGCCCGAAGATGCGTCCATATCTACTGAAAGGAATGTGTTCTTTGTGTCTCCCAGTGTAGACACAATCAAGCCCACAGGGCTGATGTTTCAAGAGGCAACGAGCTTCGGGCCTCTCCGAGAGACCCCGCGCAGGAATAGGATGCGAGAGCGAGTGTGGGTCGTGGGAAATGGAAGTCGGGTCACGTGACGGGTAGTGAGGGTTCAAATGATTGAAGCTATCACGACATAGGTAGGTAATGAGAAGATTATGTAGGGAGCAGGATACAAGTTAGCTTTGAACACCCTTATTGTACCATTCCTTTCGTATTAATGGCCGTTTGTCACAGTTTACCTACTCTGTGAAACCATGCAGAGAAACAATAGAATGAATTTGAACACTTGATGCCAGTTGGTCGCAAATAATCTACATTTCCAACTTCTCTCATTCGGCAGTCTTTGTGTGGTATCTAGGTATGACTAAGCTTGTAGCGCATTCCATGTAGAAAACTACCTAGTAGCTTAGCCTGGCTGTTTTTGATGGGGGGAATCCGAGGATGTGGCTATGCGTTCAATTAGGCGGGGCTGTGCTGTGATGCTTGCGTACGGGGGCTGATCAAGGAATTTTCCTCAATTGTCATATCAATGGAATACCTTCCGCTCGTCCACTCTTAGTGCATGGAGATGCTGTGGTTCTGGAACTTAAGAACGCATCAAGCTCTTGAGAGGACGCACATTCATGAATCGCGAATGCCGGCAGCTGAAAAGGGGCCACTGACTGGGATTAAGAGCTCCGCGCGTTCCACGGGGAACGGTGATTGACGAGAATCGCCCGCGCGACGACAGCATGGTTCGAGAAACTCGCGCCTCAGCGCGTCACAACGATTCAAGCGACACCGGAAGCACAGTGGCAGACAACGCCAGGGCCCAAGAGACTCGCCGCTCTCACAAGAAGTCTCGGAATGGATGCGCAGAGTGCAAGCGCCGTCACATTCGCTGCGATGAGCGTCAGCCCTCATGCGCGAATTGCGAGGTGGCAGAGCGTGCCTGTTTCTTCCCACCGCCAAAAGTGAGCAAGCAGAAGCGCAGACAAGCACAAAAACCTCAATCACAAGGCGAAAGGTCACAGGGCACATTGGTGCGAAACGCCCGATCACCATCACCAGGCTCCAGAGGAAGTAGTCATGGCAATACAAACAATGACGCGAATGCGCTGATTGAGCGCGCACAGCTGCCCTCACAACCAGCTCATCGTCAACAAAGCAACTTATCCGAACTCACTCATGCGCCAAGCCATCCGTCTCATGGCCTGCCATCAAGGCCTTCAGACGTGCCAGCCGCGGTTGATCTCAGCCTAAGTTCTTATCAGAGTGACCAGGCTCAATCCCCAGCTTCGACGACGCAGCTGAGCGGCACCCATCCTCCTCCTCCATCTCTAGACTGCCAGCTCGGCTTGTCAATATTAGGCACGCCAAACGCACCCTCAGAGGCCATCTACACACCACAGCACATGATATTGCTACACCATGCAGCCTCAGTCCCATACTTCACCGGCCCAGCCCGAAGCGCCCTCGACATCGCCGTCCGACGCGCCGTGGACTCACCCTACCTCCTCGACGAGATCCTCGCCTTCACAGCCTTCCACATGGTCCAGCTCTATCCCGGGTCATCCGCCCATCTCCACGACCTCGCCACAGAGCTCCAGAACCGCGCTCTCTCATCCTTCACCCGCCTCACGGAAACAGTAGCCAGAGACGACAAGGTCACCGCCGTCCCTCGCTTCCTCTTCTCCGCCATCCTGGGCAGGCATGTCCTCGCCGACACCCTCGCTCACTACCGCTCCGACTTCAAGTCCTTCATCGACCGCCTCGTCGAGTGCTTCAACCTCAACCGCGGCGTCAAGTCCGTCACCCTGCCGGCCCGGAACTTCCTCCGAGACACCGAGCTCGCACCCGTCCTCAACGTCATCCTCGAGGCCGAGAAGAGGATGAGCACGAGGGGCGACGAATGCGGGTCTCTGAAACGCCTCCTAAATGACTCCGACCTCAGTGATTCGAGCGCGAGAGCGTGCCACGAAGTCATTGGGCTTCTGCAGTGGTGCTTCGACATTTGCCGCGTCCTCGACGAAGGAGACTACGCCCAGGCCGCGTCGTCGTTCTCTGTAAAGGTGCCGGTCGGCTTCGTCGATATGCTGCGGAAGCACCGCCCCGAGGCCCTCATCATTCTGGCACATTACGGCGTCTTGCTGCACCGTTGTCGTACCTTTTGGCCCTTTGCTGACGCTGGCGCCTTCATTATCCGCGCCGTTGCTAGGCATTTGGGTAATTACTGGCAAGAGGCGCTTTCGTGGCCCCTGCTAGTGCTTGAAACTGAGCCGTAAGCCATTGTATACCGATTCCACGTCGCTGTACAGGCACTGGATTTGAGACACGAACCATGTGAGCACAGGATCTACTCGGGAATCATCTTAGTAAGACTGTGTATATATGGTAACGTCTACACCACGCTGGGACACTACCTCAAAATTATGCCAACATGTTTTCCAGCATTGTGTCCCTCAAATCAGGTGTCCTTTTTCCCAATCCAATTACGGGAAAGCGGCCTTGTTCGCCTCCAAGAACTCCTTCCAAGTAGTCGCCTTCAGCCCAACGCCAGCCAAAAGCTCCTGACTCTCCTTCAGGTCCTTACCGGCATAGTACCCGGGCTCGTCAATAAAGAGGTGGTTCTCGAGCATCTCGTCAGCCATGGCAGCCATCGGACCAGCGAAGAAGGACTTGTACGTCGCAGCGTCGACGGGCACGAAACGGGCTGTCTTGCCAGTGACTTGCTCAAACTCGGCGACGATCCGCGTGGGCGTGTAGTAGTCCTCAGCTGCCAAGATCTGCTTGCCGAGGAGGGTGCTCTCATTGCGGATTGCCGCGACGACGTACTTGCCTACAAAATGAAGGTATTAGCATCGGACTGAGCGCTTCTAGGAATCACTCACCAATATCGGACTCGGTGTCGATGAGAGGGAACTTGGCCTTGTCGCTGACAGGATACGTCAGGTTGTAGACCCCATCCTCGCCCTTGCGAATCATTTGCAGTGCAGAGAAGTTGCTCATAAAGTACCCCGGCAGGATAAAGGAGCTGGGGATGCCCTTGGCGCGGACGTAGCGCTCGACCTCGGCCTTGTCGTCAAAGTGCACGACATGCTTGAGGCGGCCGTTGGTGGTCTCGGTGACGTGCAGCAGAGACGAGTAGATGAGGTGCTTGACGCCGGTCTCGGCCGCGACGTCGGCCACGTTCTTGCCGTGAGCCTGCTCTTCGCTGGCGCCGCCCGTGAAGTTGGGCGTGGTCATAAAGAAGACGGTGTGGGAGCCCTTGATCGCCTCGGCGAGAGAGGTCTTTGAGTTCATGTCGGCCTTTCCCCATGTTAGAAATCTCTCAGTCTACATCAAGAATGATAGCAGTCGGATCATACAGAAACGACCTCGACGCCCTTGCTGGCTAAAGCTTGAGCTGCGGGCTTAGAGACGTCCCGAGTGATGCCACGAATTCTGTACTCCTTTGATAGAACGGCGTCGGCGAGGGCTGCTCTCACGACGGAACCGCCCTGATTGCCAGTGGCTCCGAAGATGGTGAGAAGTTTAGACATGTTGAAGATACAAGACGTGTTTTCGGGTTGAGTCTGGCGGGTTGGTCTGTGTTGAGGAAGAAGATGGTTTTCAGTCTGTGGGATGTGAGGGGGGAAGCTAGAAATGCACACGAGCATCGCTCGACTTTATAGCTACAGCCCGATTTGCAGTCGCATGCAGTACGTATCTTTGTCATGTTCCTATACTTCCATTCTCTTGCCTTTGACGGATCTACGCAAGCATGCCATGAATCAAGCAGTGGCGTCTCGGCTCTGAGCATCGGCCCACGATGTGGGCCTTTGGAAGGCGGGATTCCCGACTTACAAACACTGTTCCACGAAGGACCGGACTTTCAGCCGTCGGTCAGATTCTCATCAAATTCAATTCTGATATGATAAGCAAGAAACAATGACGTGGAAATTGAGGTACACGTACATCTTCGGGGATAGAGACGAAGTTACTCTTGGCAAGGCTACATCGAGTGCGAGTCGGCCTTCGTCGGAGACCGGTGCCACGTGGGTGTGGATACGCCCTATGTTAGAAGCTTGACTATCAATATCCTGATTCTAATTGCAAGTCTTCTCTTCGATTCCACTTCCTCGATCTCTTGAACAAGTGCGCTTGATAGGAGTACCGCTATCTAGGTCCTTCCTCTATCCTTCAAGCAGGGCTCACGAATCACTTACCTTAGTATAAGTAGATTCTTCAACGGGATATCAAAGGGCATGGACCGATTACGTCTCGTCTGCGGCGACTTTTTTGTTCAGCTTCGGAAATTTCCACAATGTGTAGGAAACATAGTCTCTTCTTTCTTGAGCATTAAAAATAACTTTGGATATGATTGCAAATAAATACAAGACGTTAGTTAGGTTTATTAAGAGAGCCGATGCTACCTCCTGAGATTGTCAAGCTTGACACATGCTTCATCGTTGAAATTCCATATAGACCATTTCTCTTCGATTATTACAATATAAGCCGTATTACTACAATGGCTCTTGCCTTCTTCTGCCCAGGACGCATCTGTGACGTGATTCCAAACGCCCTCCTCAAGACCGAATACTACCTGCGTACTCGCTCTCCGCCTTCAGCCAAGTCTCAAAGTCCTTGAGCCCAGGATACTCCTTTCTCAGGGCCGCAATGTCAACATCATACCCAATATCGTGGAACCACTTGAACATGTACCCAAAGTCCTTCACCATCGTCATGATTAGCCAACACAAGACCCTATACGTCCCAGGCAGCTCCTTGCCCGTATTCCTCTTGAACACCGCAGAAAACTGCTCAATCGTCAAATCGTCGCCCGCAAGCGAGACCCCGCGGCCCTTGTACTTCTCAGGGTGTAGAAACGCCTCGGCGCCAAAGTAGCCAATGTCGCTGACAGCAATAAGCTGCAGCGGCTTCCCCTTGACCGCCATGCGCCACGAGGTGGTGAAAACCCTCCCAAAGAGGTTGTCCGTGAGGTTGTCCATGAAAGCCACGGGGCGGAGGACGGCCCACTCCATGTCGGTGCCCTTGGACTTGTTGAAGAGGTGCTGCTCGATCTCGTGCTTGTGGGCGAAGTGAGGCACATCCGTCGCGTTGTCTGCGCCGTGACGCTCGACGGAGGTGTAGACGAAGAATTTGACGCCTGCTTTGAGGGATGCGTCGACGAGGGCTTTGCCTTGGCCTAGTTCGCCGCCTCCACCTTGGCCGAAGCCCATCGGGACCTGGAATGCACATCAATATCAGCCAAGTTTGTGCACACAACAGAAACGTATTGTTCGCTATCAAAAGGTGGGAGTTTCGTAGGTACCTGGACACTGAAGACTCCCCAGATAGGAGACGAGGCGACATCTTGCGCAGTCTTGAAAAGCGCAGTCGGGTCGGCCAAGTTACCCTGGACGAGATGAACTTTGGACGACTTTTTCAAGAGACGCTGGGCGGATCCGGAGGTTGCGTCGCGGGTGACGGCGAGGATCTCAAAGTCGGCATTCTGTTCGACGAGGTGGTTGATGACTGCGCCGCCCTGCTTTCCAGTCGCGCCGCAAACCAGAATTGCTCGTGCCATTATCGATGTTATTATTGTGAGATTGATTGTTTAGATGTTTGAGTGTTGATACAGTAGTTGAATGATACACAGAAACTACACCTTCGAAAATCGAGATATCAACTCACGTCAAATACATTCATTCTCCACGAGGCAGCGGAGTTTCACAATCATCATGATGCGCCCGATAGAAAAGTCCGCGGCTAAGAAGGCACCGATCTAGCTAGGGAGGATCGGAGTGGTGACGCTTGCGAGAATGCAGCATGCGACGTTGGGAAGCTACGGAGGAAAGATGACCAATCCTGCGGCGCATGTTCCTTCGATACGCCCAAAACCGGGGCCGAGACGACCTTCTTCTCTGACTGGCATGGTGCGCTGTGGGCCTCGCCCTCCGACGAACGCCGAGTCGGAGCGCGAAAGTGGGTCTTCTAAGACGGCCCGAGGCAGGGGGGAAGGTGTCCGGCTTACTGTTGTGGCCGTTTCTTCGAGAACCTTGATGTCTAAGCATTTGACCTCTCTCTTCAAACTCTTCTAGGTAAGAAGGCAACATCTCTTTCTTGTTTGTTGACATTGAAATTGTCTAAGAAAACGTGACAAAGAGTATGCTGCAATTCTAAATATTTCTCAAATCCCAGAACATCCATCATTAAGTTCAGCGGTCGATTTCTTGTTACCCAAAAATAAAGAGCCGGAGATCGAACTCCCCCAGACGGCACACGTTTAGCCCGCGCCGGCTCCCGATCGGGCGGAATATGATCCCTGATACAGCGTACCACTAGCATCATTCAAACCACAAACTGACATCACCAACTCTGGGCTACCCGGATCTGAGGTTCCCTTCATTTCAACAACCAGAAACACGACAGGGACCTTGCGCGTACGGAACAGCAAGAGCCTCGTCGGGCTTATATTTCATTCGCTCCTCGAGCCAAACTCAAGTCCCATTTGAGTTTTCTTGCCAAGTTCGAGCACTGCAATTCCTCAATAACCTTTGTCATCCCTCTAGGCAAACATCAGGCTAAGAAACCGCAACTATGAATAGAATTTCGTTTGATGTCTCAGCAAGTAAAACTCTGCCAAAGTTTGCTCAGGAAAGAGGTTTCCTACCTAAGCCGACTGTATTAGGAATAGAATTCCGCGGTGACAATTGAACTCCTCTGTTCAGCTGTAGTCATGTAATCTCACATGTTAACCTCTCAACGTCGTGTCCAGAGCGCGATGCCACCCAGTGAAATCAGATAAAACAGAAGGGAGACAGATATAATGACAAACAACAAGCTACGAGTTATAGTCATAGGCGGCGGCATAGCAGGCCTCTCCGCTGCCGCCGTCCTCCGTCAAAAACACGACGTGATAGTCTACGACCGCGACGATCCGACCTCATCTTCCTCCTCCTCCGCCTCCGCCCCGGAACGCGGCGCCGGCATCGGCCTTGGTCCCAACGGCACGAAGATGCTCAAAAAGGCCTTTCAATTCAGCCCCGAAAACGTCAAGGCCACGATCTGCGCCGGCTCGAGGACGTACGATAAGCAAGGGAATCTGTTACGGGAGATGACGGGCGTATCGGAGCCGTTTGGGAGCGAGTGGCTCCTGATGCATCGCGGCGACTTGCGGGATGAGCTGTTGAGGCTCGCGACGGGGGACGCGGCCAAGTTGGGGATTTCGGGACCGCCGGCTACAGTTGTGGAGGGGGTCCAGGTTGTCGGTGTTGATGTTGAGGAGGGGAAGGTGAAGTTGAAGAATGGGGAGGAGGTAACAGCCGATGTGATTGTTGGTAAGACCACACACATGCATGGGACCATATCAGACTTTTTGCACAGGTATCCAGGAATTGACGGACATGCTTAGGCGCAGATGGCATCCACTCCCTCGTCCGACAGGCTGTCCTCGGCGGGCCATCTCACATGGTATCACCGGGTGCCTCACTCTACCGGTTCACGTTCCCGCTTGAGAAGGCGAGGGATATCCTGGGAGGGTACCCGGCGGCGATAGACCCGTCCAACAGCAACTTTCTCAACATGATGACGGCCGACGACGAGACGCACCGCAACATCATCTTTTATCCCTGCCGTGACATGACGCTACTCAACGTCGTGGCGAGGATCCCCGACGCCATGCTCTCGGTGGAGAGCATCACGTCTTGGAACGCCGAGGGGAGCGCGGAAGAGATGCTGGATCACTTTTTCGACTTTGCCCCGTGGATGCTGGCGATTATGAAGTAAGTCTTATCCCTCCATCGTCACCTCACAATCAATCAGAAACATGAAACGAGAGTCGCTCACACCAAGCACATCAAGAAACGCTCAAAACATCCACCTCTACAAGGTCAAGGACGCAGACCCGCTCCCAACCTACACCCGCGGCTGCGCCGTCCTCGTCGGCGACGCAGCGCACCCGATGACGCCGTTCCAGGGCCAAGGCGCGACACAGGCTATCGAGGACGCCGAAGGATTACGGCTGCTTCTCCATGAGAGTGTCCGCGCCGATGACCTGGAGAGCATCACGTTGGCGCTGCGAACGTGGGACTCGGTGCGCAGGCCGCGCGCGTCGCAAGTGCAGCAGAACTCGAGGCACGTGACGGATATGTCGGCGCAGGCGCAGCTTGATCGGATGAGGTTGAACTGGACGTATAACGGGATTCACGCGGCGTTGAGGAACCGGTAGACGTGGGTGGGCGGGTGTGCCCCGCAGAGAGCATGGGACAAGTTCATGTCTAGATGGGTTGGGTGAATTTGGGTATACTGCCTACCTCCCTACTGTGTAATACCTAGCACTGATTTCTGATCAATGGATCACAGAGGGCAGAGGAAGTCGAGAGCAGACGGCTGATTCCGCGACAGCTCAGGGTCTTAGGCTACTGCAGATCTTGCCAGGGGCTAACATTCTGATATCCCCACCCGCAAGGTACATCATTAACATTGATGAATCATCGACCTAGCCTGATGCATCATTGGACGAGTTCCTGCGTTGGAATGGAAAGATCTGTGCCTGAGGTGTGCCTGGACCGTAGAATCACACGAGCCTTGAGACCGTCTGATGCTGGCAGTGAGATGGATGCACCTACGTCCTTACAAAGGGGCCCCGGAAAGGTGCATCATCGACATCATCGCTCGTCATAACCGAGCACCTCCAAAACGCCATGTCGCGCCACGGTCATATAACACCGCAAATCCACATTGCCGTCCAAGGGATGCAAAACCACGCAACCAACATAACTGTTCACTGATTCTCGCAGTTGTCCATTGGAAAGAACTGGAAAGAACCAAAAGAACCCCCAAAACACCTATACATCTCGCGATAAGAACCAACACCCAGTTGGCAACACACGATTAGAAACACAGATAACCAATCATGTCATCATCAAGAGCTCTCCGCCTTCAATCGGCCCTCCGAAACCCCATCCTCCGCACCTCCGCACAACTCGCACCCCGCCGGGGCTACGCCGTCAAGGAGCCCCCAGCACCAAACCCCATAAACCCGTCCGGTTCAGCACCGTCCCGCCCGGCTCCGTCCCCATCAAACCCCAAGGTGGGAACCAAGCCAGATGAAATCAGCAACAGGCAAGCCTTCACTCTCTTCCGCCCTTCATCACAGCTTCAAGTCATTCTCTGGTGTCCATACAACTAACGCGACCGGTCTCGTAGAAGTGCACTGTACCTCGTCCTCGGCGCCGCCGCAGCCCTGGGCGGCACCTTCGCCTTCCTGACCGGCGCCCCAGACCGCGCAGCAGGCGTCGCGGACTCCGTCACCCGCGGCGGCGGGCCGTCCATCACGCCCGGCCTGGGTCCTAAACCCTCGAGCGAGCGGAATCTGGAGAACACGACGGGACGGGATGCAAACCGGCAGACGGGGTTGGCGGGGATAAAGAGCAAGCAGACGGATCCGAACCAGCTGCAGGCGAGCAATTGAGTAAGACTCGCTTGACGGAGATGAAGATGACGTTGGGGTAGAAGGATACCTGTAATTGTACGCAAAGCAGACTTGCAATTGAAGTCACGTTAAGATTGTCTTGAACTTGATATTGCTCCCGTCGCGGAGGTTCCCCTTGTGTACCGAGGTTACATCGAATACGTGTATTTACACCCAATCAACAATCCTCCCTCCCGTATATAGCTCTCCCGTGCTCCCCAGAATTCGTGTATGCATGGATCATGCGGGGAAGGATTACTACGAAGTCATTTCCGTTCCCCGTCCCGCTTCGTCGTCCCCCAATAAGGGTCTTCTGTGTACGTCTGATAATTTCCCAGACCACCAAACCCTGTCTTTCAACTCTGTATGGAGTGCTCCAACCTACACATCGGAGTAACCCATCAGCGACTCTGAATCCGAGCAGTGCGATGCGCGCGATGCGGAGGTTGGATTCGGGGACCATCAACATCCCGCCGAACCACGTCCTGGATCAAAAGGTTGGTTGCATTGCTGCCGGTTGTGCATATGTTCCTGCTGATACAGCATTGGCATACAATAAGTAGCAGACACCCAGCCAGTCAACTTGTCTTCCCGCGTCGTCGTACGCTCCCGTCGTTCTCGGTATCGGATTCTCTTTGTGATGCAGGTCGGATATCGATGCTTCATGCTCAGAGGCATTCAGTCTCCTTCACTTCACTTGTCAAAGTCCACCAAAACCGAGAACCTAACTGAATCCACAGCTCGTGTATATAATGTCAATAGAAACTACTTGCACTCATCTTGCTCTTCTCGAGTTCGCTCTTTTTGAACCTGCTCTTCTTGAACCCCATGCCCGTGAAAGAACTCGTCAAACACCCGTACATCGCCAACTCTCACCCGACAGAAACCATGTCCACAGACTACACCTCAAAAACAGTCCTCATCACAGGCGCAGCCTCGGGCCTAGGCCTCTCCCTAACCCGCCACTTCCTCGCCGCAAACGCAACAGTCCTAGCCCTCGACATCTCCGACGCCTCCCTCGCCTCTCTCCCCTCCAAATTCGACGACGCCCCGGACCTCCGTGCTCGTCTGCACCCCGTGAAAGCAGACATCACCGACCCGGCCTCCGTCTCCGCCGCACTCTCTTCTTGGATTGACGGGGGAGAAGACAGTGCAGTGGACAAAGGTAAACGACGCCTCGACGTCCTCGTCAACAACGCCGGCATCTCGGACCTAATGCACCCCACGGCCGACTGTCCCATAGCCATGTGGGACCGCCAGATCCTTGTCAACATGACGGGCAGCTTCGTCACCTCGCAGCGCGCGATCCAGCAGTTCTTGAAGCAGGAGCCCGTGGACGGGCAGAGGGGTGTGATTTTGAATGTTATTAGTGCCGCGGGAGTGCACGGCGCGAGAGCAGGTGAGTTCGAACCATCCTTCAAATCTCATCATCATCTCATTTCATCTCCTCTTATGTCATTCTATCTCACCCCAACCACCATATGATCATTGAAAAGGGGCGAAGAATTCACCTTCTGAAAGAAACGGATCACGAGACAATATGGGAATCTGCATGAAACAGAATCTTGAGCTGACCACCAAAACCACAACAAAGGCGTCGCGTACACGGCCTCGAAACACGGCACAGTCGGCCTGACGCGAAGCACAGCAGCCTTTTACGGCCCAAAAGGCATCCGGTGCCTGGCCATCATGCCCGGTCCCATGATGACGAACATGGCCAGGGATGAGGAACACATCAAAGAGTTCCACCCCGAAGGCCTCGCCATGGGTAAGACACCATCTCCAAGTGAGCACTCGTATACTACCATGTGTCTGATTACTAACGAAACCTCGTCCATCAGTGGTGTCGACTTTCAACACCTGCCAAGGTGATCCTGCCAAGGGAGGTTGGGATTTAGGATGGTCGCCGCTGGATCAGGTCTCAAAGACTGTGGTGAGCCTGTGTTCTGGTGGGATGAACACCATCAACGGCGGGCTTGTGCCGACTGACATGGGTTGGACGTCGCTTTAAGCTTGACGGGGTTAAATGAGATGTACGAATTGCGACGTCCAGACCTTTGAGCACTTGCACACGTTCCACAATGTAGAGTGCGCAATGATTCACGTCAAATAAGTAGGCAAGAATATTATAGGATCATGATTGAAACCATTGCAATTGAACTAAAGAAGAATTATTACTAAGGGACTGCATCATTAAGCTTCCGCCGTCTGTTGACCCAAACTGAATTCTCCATCCGGGTATAAGCCTTTTCGTTTGCCGTCAACTCATCATTTGATCCATGTCTGTCACAAAGGAAAAGAATTAAGGTCTACACTTAGTATCCACTGACGTGAGCAGGGGTAGAAAGAGTGTTGACGGTGCCGTTAAGACCGCCGTTGGGGTGGGCGTCATAGCTGGAGGTAGGGTAACCGGAAGTCGGGTAGTCGGAAGTGGGGATGGTGTTCAAGTCACCACCGTTGACCTGGCCGGGAGCGTGAGGAGCATACTGGCCCTGCTGGGTGGGAAGGCCGTGCTTCTTGCGCTCGATGCGAGGAGCATCGGGGATATCGGTAGATTTGTTTGCCTTACCAATGGCGAAGACAGGGCTCTCCCAACGCTCACCCTTACGAGCCAGCTCCTTGTACTCAGTGGCCTTGGAGCTGATACCTCCAGGCAGGTGAATGTTGGGGAAGATGGAATCCTCCTTGGTAATAGCGTAGTTGACCTTCTTGTCGGCAGTAACCTCGTCCGCCTTCTGCTTGGCCTGGAGAGCGCGCTTCTGCATAGCGGTGGCATACCGGTTGTAGATATTGGGAGTGTTCTCGGGGTTAGAGCGAGCCTCATCAAGGGCACGATCAGCTTCCTGCTTAACCTGGTACATGATGCTGTCGAGCTGAGTGGCCTGGTCCTTGATGGCCTTCTCGACAGCCTTCTGAAGGGCAGGGCGAAGGACCTTGAGCATGATGGGCTTGAAGAGACCAAATAGAAGCTTGTGCTTAGACTGCTTCAGCTTGATGCTCATGTGCTTGATGTCAACGTCAACCTTGTCAACCTTGAAGAAGTTCTGTCTGTCATTCTTATCGGCAGAGGAGAGCTTCATCTTGAAAGAGAAGCCATCGCCAGCGAGAAGAATGTCGGCGACACCAGTGTCGGTGATAGATGGGAAGCCCTGCTTGCGCTTGACGTGGTAGCTGACGTCGCGAAGATCAAGCTGGACACCAGCAACCTTCACCTCAAAGGATTGCTTGTGCTTGTTGGCGATCTTCTTGCGTCCCCAAAGGAAGTAGTTCTCGCTGTTAATCTCGAGAACGTTAGGCATGAAGTTGTCAGACTCGAGGACAAGGTTCTCAATGACAGCATCGAACTGAGGGTCGCTGTACTCGAGGCGCGGGACCGGGATGTAGGCAACGTTCTCAAAGATGCCGGGAATGATGACCTCCGAGAGATCCTTCAGCAAGTGAGGCTTAAAGGTAGGCTTGCCGTTCTCGTCATTGCCCAGATCGGTAAAGAGCTTCTGGACGGCCAAGCCGAAGCGCTTGTTGAGAGGGTCCTGATCAAACTGGTCAATCAAGAACTTGATCTCGTCAAAGACACGGTCGGTGTGAGCGCGGTATTTCTCGCGAAGCAAGTAACGACCATGGTCGTACAAGTGGTTCCATTCCTGGTTGGAGTCCTCGTCCAGAATGTATCCCTGCTCGAGAAGGCAGCGGCGGACGTAGCGGTCCATAGCCTTGAACCAGTCCTTCAGCTCACGATCGTTGTCAGCATCGCGGTAGATCTGGTTGATCGACTCGAAGAAGTCTTCGGTCGAGGTGCCGTTGGCGAAGCGCTCGATCAGCGTCTTGAGATCAGACTCGGCCTGAGCGAGACCGGCACGGGTGTCCTTGACGGTACCAGTTCCACCCTGTGCCAAAGTGCGGGAGTGCCCGGCGTACTCCTCGGCGAGGTTGAGAAGAGTCTCAATGGCCTGGGAATAATCGGGGTGCTGCTGACACTCAAGCACCATCTTCTTCAAACGCCAGATGGTCTGGTCCTTGCGCTCCTGGGGCATCTTCTTGTTGAAGTACTCCTTGGAACGACGAAGGTACTCCTCCTTGCGCTGACGTGCCTGCTCCTTGGTCTCGCCATCGACGTTCTCGTTGTACTTCTTCTGAATGACATCGCGGGCAGCGTTGATGCCGCCCTGGGCATTCACACCCGAGTTGGTACCTTGCTGCTGATCGCGAGCGGCAGTCGCGGCCAGGTCATGGGGGTTCTGCGATCCGTTGGGGTGAGCGGCCTGAGTGCCTGCAGCAAGGACCTCCCGAGCATCATCGGCAGGAGAGCCCTTGTAGACACCCTGAGCCTGCTTCTTGAAGTTCTCCTTGGAAAAGTCGGGAGCATCGTGCCAAGTGTTGTCCTCAGCAGGGCGGTCAATGTCCTGAAGGGCTTCGCCGGAGGGACGGACACGCTGGGCAGCGTTGGTAGCGGCATCGCCAGCCATGTCCCGGATAAGGACGGTGGCATCCTTGACTATATAATGTTAGATTGTGACCAATTGGGCAGACATCGCTGTTTGACTCACGAAGCTTGCGGAACTGTCCGTTGGTGATGAGCAAAGTTCCAAGGGTCCGCAGACCCTCTAGCGCCTTGTCGCCATGCTGCTGAGCGACCTCCTTGTTGACGGGAGCGCCAGGAACGTCCACAGCCTTGGGGTCGAATTGCTCAGTCTGCCAGATGAAGTCTTGAATCAGGTTGCCCTGGTTCTTGGACAACAGAAGGTTCTTGGCTTGGATGACAACTTCGCGCGCATCGGCAATCAGTGCGCGGCCTTCGGGGGAGAGCTTCTCGGGAGGGTTTGAGAGAGCCTTGGAGGCCAGGAAACTGTTCAGAGCAACATCGATTTGGTCATTCTGTTGCGAGGGACCACGTCAGTATCACGCAATGATGTAGGGTTGCGGGTCTGGGATCAGCCAGGCGGGGGCCGCGTGGGTCCTTGCCGCCATGCCGGCATCGACGTACCGAAGGAACCTTGCCAGCC